AGGCCACAGAACCTGTGAGTTTTAAGTCCCCAGAACCCCTGATTAAGAGGTGAACTCTGGTGATAGAAAATTGGCTGTGTTTGAACTTTATTTTGTCCTTAGACTCGCTAGAAAATCCATCAAGTTCTCACAGAACCTTAGGATTTGATGGAACACAGTTTGAAATACCCTGGATTATATTCACTAATGCCCAACTATAAGAGTAATATGCACAGTGGGTGGAGTTAAATGCCATGTTCTCCCCTCTGTTGGCTCCAGTGAGGTGACAAGAGACATTTGTTTGATATCTGGAGTTAGCAAAACAAGCATTCACAATAAATAGCAATGCAAATTTGGTTTCTAGATTAAGCAACACAATGGTGACATACAGTGTGCTAGTGATGAGCACATTTTCTCAAATATGATTTGCAGTTAATTTTTTAAAAATGTTTCAAAGATGATCTGAAACATGTTTTTTGAATTAAGTAATTTTAAAGAAAGGATTATGTATCATTTTCATGGCTGTGTCCCTCTCAGCCTGAAGGAGGATTCATTTCACTTCCTATTTCAAATTACTAGCAGATAGGAGTTTAGGGAAAGGGTTGCCAAGAGCCAATGAAGCTCAGATGCATGTGCGTATAATAGAAACCCAGGCCAGTTCAAATATAAATCCAAGAATCTATTTGTGCTCAAGGAACAAATATTATTGTGCTTAAGTACCCCTGAAGAAACAAACTTTGGGAAGTCCTGGCCTCAGAAAACATTTCTTTTTTGGATTTGGGAAACAAAAGTTAGGCAATTCTATATGTTTCATTGATAATAATTCCTTTTCAGTTCAGTCCTTGTCTTTAGGCATATATCTGTAGAACTGAAGCTTTTATATGACAGCCATATAAAAGCTTCATATGTTCAAAAGCTTCATATTCATTTTATATTCATCTCTTTGGGGATGTTAAGCTCAACTCTAGGGGTACTGAACACCCATAGAGAGGATGGCATACAGTTAGTACAAAATGAAGAAGTGATATTGCTATATAAGCACTATTTTATCCTAAGAAACAAGAACAACTTGTTATAGGAGAGCACTGCCTCTACATGTGTTGAAGGAACATCAAAACCTTTAACTTGTTTGTAAGCAAAACACCATGTGGAAGTTGATGCTACAAGTAACTGGAGCCTTACATTAACTATAGAAAGCATGTGAGCCAACCTTCATTGACAGGAATTCAAGTGGCAATCAATCACATCTAAATGCATAGCATCCAACAATCCATTGCTGTCTCCATTAAGGATCCTTGAAACATATATTCTTTCAGTATGTATTCACCCATTACCGATTACCTTAATAACTAGGATTTCACTAATAAATAAATAAAGAGCACTTATAGTTTATTTCTGAACTTCAGAGCTGAGTGCTTGCCAGCGTATAGCAAAAATGGCAGCTGCCTTACACAAGAATGAATGCCAGAAGAAAAATCCCTGTTAGAGAGCAGTCATCTGTCTTGGATGCAACAGCTTTCAACCACCCTGTAACTCAGAGTAAGATAATGTGGACACTCTAGACACATTGCAGCATTTTGTCATGGAGTCTGCCAATTCATTCTTTCGATAACAGCATTTTTACCAATGAGAACTGAGTTATGTTCTGTGCCCAGAGAATACTGACTGCTGAAATTAGGGGAGGAACATATAATGTAATAACTTGGAATATGTGCTCTGATGATATTACCTAGTCGGATAATGAAATGTCTGCAAGCCAACAACCAAGCTCAGAGAGCACCATAGCTCAACCCTGAGCTACATATATTCTCTTCTATTGGTATTCTATGTTAATGTTCCCAGGCAACTTACAATTAGGAATAAAAACAAATGGAATGTATTGACTACAAATCTTTAAGCTGGTTTACCTTTTTATGAAGCTTAGTAATCTATGCAGTCAGTGTTTCAAAGACTGTTTTGGGAAATTTTAAGGTTCTTGTGATTCATCTGTACATTAATTTGTTGACTTGCTCTGCGATATTGCCAAGCTCTGTAAGATATGTTCATTATTAAGGCTGTGATCCATAGTTCAACTTAATGGGATTTACTTTTGGCTGTGTGAATGTATGTGTGTGCATGTAAGTGTAAGTGTGTCTGTGTGTTGAGAGAAACTGTGTTACAACAATGGAATTCATGGTTACCAGAATTAAATTCTGTTGAGCAGAAGTATTTATAGAGCCAACTGATCCACAGTTAAGCTTAGTTTTTGGATTCAGCCATCTTTTCTTCCCAACTCCAGAATTGCCCCTCCTTCCCCTCCCACGTCAGTAATTAATTTCTGCTTCTGATTAACTCAGCACGTCTAAATTTTTGTTTTTCACAGCTCCATATAGAAAAGTCAAGATTTGTTATTTTCACATCAGAATATGCTGAACTATTCCAATTGCCATGTTGTGGTAAATATTGGAATAAGGATGAATGGTATCAAATTACCGTCCACAGCTATATGATTAGTAGTTTAAAAAAAATGATAGATATATAAATGTATTTATTTTAGTTTAACTACTAGATATTTATCTGCTTTGTTTAATGATGAGAAGAATGTGTAAAAGAATCCCTGCTTAAAAGCCGAGAAACAATATGCACAATTACAAATACCCACACTATTTGTGGCACTCCATTTTTTGCAAGTATCAAATTATTTTTCAGTAATTATTATCTGGAGATTTTATTCAGGAGCCTTTGATGAGGATCTTTATCAAACTTTTCTGAAAATCCAAGTAGGCAATGATGACAGGATAATTTCCACCTATATGCCCGAGGTCATTCTAAAGAAACTAGTACGTTGGTAAGGTAGGATTTACTTTTGCAAAATCCATACTGTTTTTCTTTAAGAAAGGTTTAATTATTTTTTTCCTTTTTTATCATTTCTACTAATTTGGTCAAAACAAATGTCAAACTGACTGGCCTACAGTTTCCCAGTTCTCCCTGGATCCCTTTTAAAAATTGGTGTTACATGAGTGATCTTTCTGTCCTCAGGGATGCAGCCTAATTTGCAGGACAAGTTATGTATTTTTACTGGATCAGCAATTTCATATTTGAGGTTTTAAAGAAGTTGTGGGTAGATACCATTAGGACCTAGTGCATATTTTTCTTTATTCTCCACATGCTTCTTGAGCATCTCTTTCACTTCTTTGTTGCCTGAATGGTCTTTGCCTATTTGAATAAATTCTTATTGTTTTGTTAATGTTTTTGCCATACCCTCCTCAAGCACAACTACCTCCCTTGCATGATTTTCCAAAGAGGACTCTCTTCCAGTGCTTGAAAATGTCAGTTGTGAAGCGTCAGCAGAAGTCCTGTTCGGTGTCTCCTTATCTTCTACCTTCGTTATCAAAAAATTTTTTTTAACGGGCTTTAAATGGGCTTTGTTAGCAGTGGTCCCTTGATGCTGTAGTACTTAACCTAATAAATCCTTTACAGGCATTCCTGAAAGTTCTTTTGTTTCATCAAATCTTTTGATTTAGAAGTTTTTGCTACTTTGTTTTAGATATCTGTGGGTTTTAGTTTTTTGTGGTTCTTTTTTCTTTTATGTATGGTTTGACAGAGGTTTTGTTTTTGTTTCTGTGGTTTTGATGAATTATGGTTAACTGATGTTTTTTCCTTTTCCCTATCATGTTGTTTAAGCATTCTATTTTGCAGAAGTAAAAAAACCCTAATAAAATGGACTGCTTTCTTTTTTAAAAGTTTGTGAATACATGCCTTAAAATCAAAACAGTAGCTATAGAATGACAGCATTAGTTGCTGTGGTGAAATGGCATCTTCAAGAGAAATGTTTTTTGGGGATATGGGAATTTCATTTTCAGTGAGAAAATATTCCAGGAGAAGCAGGACTTAAGGTTCCCTCTCCACATTTCTGAACAAGGCTTAAAAACACTATTATACAGCAATTTATATTCAGGATATAAATAATCTTGCTTTGTGCATTTGCAACATATAGAGAATAGTACACAAAAAAAATTATTTTATCTCTATAATTTTTCACAGAAAGTTAGTTTCTAAATTATATAAAAGTTATATTTAGCTTCAAATGAAACAATCTTTTGATTGTTACTGGAGCAACTGAATGTTTGTTCAAGAAAACTGTGAACTGCCAAATGGGAAATTTGACTGAAATCAACCTATCTTGCACAGTGAAATGCATACATACTATTGCCTCCACTGTGTACTTCACAAATATGTGGGATAACTTTGTAGCTATTGGTTCTATGCTGTGGCTCACCTCACAGTTTTTCCTCTTCTTTCTCCCCACTTTTTCACTTGAGGGTGGGAATATGGATGAACCATCCTTACGGATATGCAAAACCAGTGCACACTTTATGGGATACAAGTAAGAGAATGCAAAGATCTATTCTTCCATAGAAGTGTCAGCAGTCCAGTAGTATGAATTGTGTTTTACTTTCTCTCAACCATGAAACCTACAAATACTTTCCTTGATGTTCAAAAATGTGTCTCCAAGAAATCAGACTCACTCTTTTTAAAAAAATGCTGGAATATAACTAAAATAATTGGTATTGCCCTTCCTTCCTTCCTTCCTTCCTTCCTTCCTTCCTTCCTTCCTTCCTTCCTTCCTTCCTTCCTTCCTTCCTTCCTTCCTTCA